GAAACTATGAGAGATAGAGCCTTAAAACCTATTCCATTCGATTCCTGAGGAAATTTGGGTTCCGTATAGGCAGATGGACGGCTCAGAATTGCGTTTTTCCACTTCCTACACCCTATACAAGACGAATTAAATTAATTTTTTTTTGCATTTTCGTTTTTCGCGATTATCTCGGAAACTATGAGAGATAGAGCCTTAAAACCAAATTTGGGTCCCCTATAGGCGAGTGAATGGCTCAGAATTGCGTTTTTCCACTTCCTAGGCCTTATACAAGAGTGTACGGGAGTGATTCACGTAATGGTGCGAATAGTCACGGCCTAAATTTTATATAAAGTTAAATTTCAAGGAAGCGAATAGCTAATAGTACTCATCATTTTTAAATTATGAAATTAATGACCAATTAAAATATCCAAATTTGGAATTATTTTATCAATCAATAATCAATAATTGAGTTCGGAGGATTGACGACTATTTGGCTAATGGAAAATCGCTTTCAAGAAATTTATAAATATTTGCCCAATAGTCCATTTACAATCACATATTTTAAATTATTCAATTTTCAATCCCAAATCCTCAATTATTCAATTCATAGTGAACTGTTGCGTAGTGATTGGCTTCTGCGGTCATTAGTTGATTCGAGGTGACGAAATTTATGATGTCCAAATGATAAAAATTCATCAAGTCATTTGGATTAAGTCCAATAATAAAAAAATCGGTCAAAAACTTCTCGACAACATTCATAGTCAATTGAAGTTTTAAATTGTCAATTATGTTATAATTTTCAAGTTTCAACCCAAACTAAAATCATCATTACTAAAATTAATGGTTGATCCCCATTTATAATTGTTTTCTGTAATTCGTATTCCGTGCACCAAAGGCTAGAATGAAGTTGGACCGGAGGATGGCGACTCGAGAGATTCGAGAGAAGATATCGAGCTTATTACGAGAGGTGGGACTGTTCGACAGGTCTGGCGTGAGAATCGGCTGTGGAGGAGACGACAAGGTGTTGTCCGGGGGCGAGAAGAAAAGACTAGCATTTGCGACCGAAGTAAATTGTCAAAAACTCACCTGAATCAAACACCAACACCTGCTTGGCAACGACTCCATCACACTTGATCACTTCTTTTTGTTCTTAAGCTTCTGACTGATCCAAAGATCCTTTTCCTGGACGAACCAACGACTGGCCAGGACTCCAACTCAGCAACAGTCCTCATTTCACACTTGACAGCCTTTGCGAGTCGAGGCAGAACAGTCCTGTGCACTATTCATCAGCCCAGTTCAGCTATTTTCGATAATTTTCACCGGATTATTCTCGTGGCCGATGGGAGAATTGCGTTCGCTGGCACCAGGGATCAAGCACTTTTGTTCTTTTCAAGGTAATTTCACTGATATAAACACTCCACACTCACGATTTCGTAATTTTTTTAATGTTAAAAGTCTTCGGAAATTTTCAGATTTAATTATTTTGATTGATTTGACGGTTATTGCGATTAATATTTTCAATTTCTTTATACTCATTTGATTAACATTCACCATTATTTTTAAGAATCATTGATACGTTTTTGAAGATTAATAATTGTAGAATTTTAATTGATAGACTTGCTTTCATTTCATTTTTCTCGATATTTTGATTTTAGTTCTTTTCTACTTTCGTTGTGTTCAAGGTAATTTTACTACTGTAGACACTTCACACTCACGATTTGTTCATTTTTTGAACGTTAAAACTTTTTGGAAATGTTCAGGATTAATTTTTTTGTTCACTTTGATGCATATTTCGATCAATATTTTCAATTTCTTCATACTAATTTCGATTACCGTTCATTATTATTTTTAAGAATCGTTGATAAATTTTCAAAAATTAATGATTGCATGATTTTAATTGATAGACTTGTTGACTTGTGTTCATTTCAACTTCCGATGTTTTTAAGCACTCTTGTTTTTGTAAAGGTAATTTCACTGACATAGACACTAACACTATCACGATTTGTTCATTTTTTAAACGTTAAAAGTTCTCAAAAATTTTTAGGATTATTTTTTTGTTCAGACAGGGCTACGAATGTCCGAGTAACTACAACCCTGCTGATTTCCTAGTTGCCACACTTGCAATAGCCCCTAGGGATGAGGACAGCAGCAGAAGAGCTGCTCAGAGAGTTTGTGATGCCTTTTTAACCAGCGATTCCTGCAAAGAGATGGATGTCACGTTACAACTCGAACTTCATATCTCAAAGGCTTACGACGTACGTTTGAGTTTTGTAAATAATAAATGTAGTATTGAATCTATGATTTTTAATGATTAACATTGAATTTCTGCTTTTGCAGTGGAAGAACGACATTTTTCAAGCTGATAATTTGTGAGTAACGAGAATTTTGATTATTTGTGAACGGAGAAAACTATTTTACTAGAATTCTCAAGAGATAATTCTATTTATAATTCATTTTCCTGTTAAACATAATGATTTTGAATTGAGAATAAAATAAGAAGACTTTTTTGAACTAATGAAATTCTCAATTATAACATCATTTTCTGGTATTTCCTATTTTACTATTGATTCATATTTGCTTGAAGAGTAAAATAGTCTTTATATTTTGACGATTTCAGGAGTTCTGAATGTTTTAATTACGACCGTAGATTTTTAATGAATTAATTCACTGGGTAATATTTTAAAAACCGAGAGGTTTCAGGGAAATTATTAACGCCTTTTATGAAGATTTCGAGGATATTTCAAGAGTCTTGTGAACAAATCCCGTGAACACTCCCAATTCCCAAAAAATAAGCCCAAGAATTTTCAAATTTGATTCATCAATTCAGTCCACTCGATTCCTATTATATTTAATCTCCCTAAACATCCCTAAACATCCGAGATAAATTTTTTTTGAACCAATGAAATTCTCAATTATGACACTATTTATTTTAAAAATCGAGATGTTTCAGGGAAATTATCAACGCCTTTTATGGAGATTTCGAGGAGATTTCAAGAGTCCTGTGAAGAAATCTCGTGAACACTTCCAATTCGCAAAAAATGAGCCCAAGAATTTTCAAATTTGATTCATCAATTCAATCCCCTCGATTCCTATGGTTCAATCTCCCTAATTTCAGTATTTTTGTCTCTAGCAAACATCCAAGATGGTGGACGAGGCTGTTCTGGCTGACCCACCGTGGACTATTCCAGGTGTTGCGCGATCCCTCCCTTCAATTCCTGAGAATCCTCCAAAAGCTGGTAAAATCCTAAAAACCGATGATCGAATAATTCTTTGTAGTCAATCCCGACTTCACAGTTTTTCTTTGCATGTGTCAGTGTGTTGCGACCATGGCTGGATTGTGCTTCGTAGGAGCAATCAGCCTGAATCAACTGGGAGTTCAAGCTGTCCAGGGGGTCCTCTTCATCCTCGTGACAGAGAACACGTTCTTCCCAATGTATGCGACTCTCTCCCTGTTCCCACAAGAATTACCACTGTTTCTCAGGGAGAACAGGGCTGGGATGTACTCCACTCATCTCTACTACATCTCTCGATTGATTTCGCTGGTACGTGACTGTTCGCTCCCCAATTTCTGCGGAAATCTGAAGAGCACAGGATTTTTTTATTCAGCAATTGGGGAATTCAACGGGATTATTCTCTCATTTTAGTTTCCTGGATTAATCGTTGAACCTGTTTGCTTCACGATGATCATATACTGGTTAGCAGGCCTCAGAAACACAGCTGAAGCCTTCGGGCTCACTCTTCTTGTAACAATCTTTACTATGAACGTGTCAACAGCTTGTGGCAAGTATTTGTGTTCCTCAATTCTTCATTTCCTTCATTTTCCATTGATAATTAGGGGTTTGCACGATTTTTTTTTTTAATGCATGGGAATTATTAAATACTAATTTTTTTATGAATAAGTTGCTGAAACTGACAGCAAATTCTTGATTTCTCGAATGAAAACAAATTTAGACCTCATATGTTTCATGAAATTTCTTATTTCACGATTTTATTCAATAAAAAAATTCCATTCGAACAAAAAACGCTTGTGACAAGTATTTTCTTCATCTCCCATGGACAGTTGGGGTTTTGCATGTTTTTTTTATTGCTGAATAGAAAAATCGCGTGGAAAAAATGAGATATCCTCTTATCAATTTCGATAAATGATAAAAAATGAATAAATTGCTGCAATTGACAGGAATTTACTGGGCTACAACCTCCTGATTTTTCAAATAAAAAAAATATCTGCGTCTCATATTTTTCATTCCATTTTGGTGTATTTCATCATTTCATTCAATGATAAAATTTCATTCAACCAAGAAAAAAAATCCGGTGGTAAGTATTTACATTCCTCAATTCCCCATTTTCTTCATCTTCCATCGATAGATGGGGTTTTGGATGATTTTTTTTATTGCTGAATAGAAAAATGGCATGGAAAATATCAGATACCCATTTTTTGAATTTCAATAAATAATAAAAAATAAATTAATTACTGCAATTGCAAATAACTTGTTCATTATTCAATAAAAAAATATACATCTCATATTTTTCATTCAATTTTCGTATTTCACCATTTCATTCAATGAAAAAAATTCACTCCTTTTGTGATTAAAATTCCAGGCTGTTTCTTTTCTGCTGCATTCGAGACGGTCCCCCTGGCGATGGCGTATCTCGTGCCCTTCGATTACATCCTGATGACCACAATGGGGCCTTTCATTAAATTAGGGTGCTTATTGTATCTTCATTCGTTATAGTTTCCCTTTGGTTCTCTCTATTCACTATGACATGCTTTCAGTTCACTTCCACTCTACGTCAAGTGGGTCAGGTACATCTCCTGGCTTCTGCATTCAACCGAGGCCCTGACCATTGTGCAATGGCAAGGAGTCCAGAATATCTGTAAGTCCTTCATTCCATTGTGTTTTCGTTCTTGGGAATTTTGAATTCATTTCGAGAAGGATTAATTGTACAAGGAAATGCCAGTGGAGTTTTCCAGATGAGGAAATTTCAGAGGAAAAATGTTTTGATCTGAGGTGAGTGATTCAATTCAATTGACAAAGTGTTTTGGGTTTTTCATTCAAGCCTGTGACTCCTCAACCTCTCAACCTGAACTGCCCTGCGTTACTGACGGGGCTGAGGTCATGGAGATGTACGACTTTGATGAGACCCACTTCTGGCTGGATCTCCTCTCCATGGCTATTTTATCCACCTGTTTTCACATCCTGGGGTATCTGTGTTTGTGGAGAAGGTGTCGAGACAAGCAATAACTTGTTCACCAATTTTTCCACTTCACAGTCAACGTTAGACGATAAATAATGGATAATTTTGACTTATTTGTTAATGTTGTTGTAATCGGAAGGAATAAACTATTTAAATTGTTTCGAAATTAATGATAGGGATCGAAATACGCATTATTCATACGCCAGAATAATTTTGAACCCTCAATTCCCATCTTTTTGTCGAACAACAACATATGAACAGTATTTGCAGAAAGAAGAAAAAGCTCCAGAGGAAAATCAATCAAAAGACTGAATCTTTCAGACTTCTTTCTTCCAAAAAACATTTCTCAAATTTTCATTGGCCCTTGGAGAATGTTTTGTTGACAGTTTTACAAATTTATCCTCCCAAAACAGGATTTATCTCCAGATAAACAATAAACTATTCATTCTTTGCAATATCTTTCTCCATGAGCATTTTATTCATCTGTTTGTTTTATTTTTCTGTTTAAAAAAAATTGAAGAACAAGCAGTTATGCTTGTTCTTTAATTTTTTTCCTTTACAGACCACGTCAGACGATGAATAATCGATAATAAGTATCTCTTATTCACAAACGTTATTATAATCAACAGGAATAAACATTTAAACCCTTTCAAAATAAATAATAGAAATAAATATAAATATTTGCCTGCTGTCTTTCATAAATCAGAATAATTTCAACAGTCTCTGGACAAACAAGGAAGAGTTCCACTTGAGAATAGCGAGTGACTGACTATTTCCAGACCTCATCCTTCCGAAAAAAAATTCTAAAATGCTCTCTGACTCCCAGAGAATTTTTTGTTAATAATTTGACAACTCTCCCCCCCCCCCGCGGATCAGAATTTATTATCAAATCAACAATAAACTATTCATTATTTGCAATACATCCTCCCCATGGCCATTTCATTCGCCAGTTTTCATACCTTGGGGCATGTGTCCGTGTAGACAAAGTCTCTACCCAAGCAATATCCACTTGTTCATCAAATTTTTCCCTTTACAGACCACGTCAGATAATGAATAATCGATAATAACTCCCATTTATTTATAAGTGTTGTTCTAATCAGCAGGAATAAATATTCAAAACCTCTCGAAATGAATAATCAAAATAAATATAAATAATTATCTTCTGTCTTTCATAAATCAGAATAATTTCAACAGTCTCTGGACAAACAAGGAAGAGTTCCACTTGAGAATATCGAGTGACTGACTATTTCCAGACCTCATCCTTCCGAAAAAAAAATTCTAAAATGCTCTCTGGCTCCTAGAGAATTTTTTGTTAATAATTTTACAACTCCTTTCCCCCGCCCCCCCCCCTCCGCCCCCCGGATCAGAATTTATTATCAAATAAACAATAAACTATTCATTATTTGTAATACCTCCTCCCCATGGCCATTTCATTCGCCAGTGTTCATACCCTGGGGCATGTGTCTGTATAGACAGTCTCTACCCAAGCAATAACCACTTGTTCATCAATTTTTTCCCTTTACAGACCACATCAGATAATGAATAATCGATAATAACTCCCACTTATTTATAAGTGTTGTTCTAATTAGCAGGAATAAATATTCAAAACCTCTCAAAATGAATAATCAGAATAAATATAAATAATTTTCTGCTGTCTTTCATACCTCGGAATGATTTCAACAGTCTCTGGACAAAGAAGAAAGAGGTCCAGAGGAGAACACCGAGTGACTGACTATTTTCAGACCACATCCTTCCGAAAAAAACATTTCTCAAATGCTCTCTGGCTCCCAGAGAATCTCTTGTTAACAATTCTTCAACTTTATCCCCCGCAAAAACAGGATTTATTTCCAAATAATCAATAAACTATGCATGCATTGTGATACCTTCGCGATTCCGCCGGGTTCTGCTCGCCGCGCAGTCCCCCGCGCATGTTAGCAAGATGGCGACAGCCGCCGGTAGAGAACAGCTTTGGCGCCCGATCTCTGAATATTCGCGGTAATCCAGCCTAATCCAAGAAAATAATTACCAATAATACGATAATTAACTGATAAAAAGGGACAGCAACGCTTTGTCAATCAATTCTGACATTATTTCCGCGCATAACAAGTGCTAAACAACTGAAACGACAACACCGAAACTGAAAACATTCAGTCAGCCAAAAGTATCCTGTCGAAGGGGCGGGGGAGGAGAGTCGTTGGTACAATCTCAGTAGAAACTTTCCGTTTTGGACACTTCTAGGGAAAATGGCGACATTACGAAAGGCGGTGGAACAGATGGGCACGAAAATTTGTGGACACATTCCCGGATGGTCGGATTCTGATAAAGTGAGTAAACAGGGCTCAGCATTGGAGATGTCTTCAGGAAATGTACCAAGTCGACATTTTTAGTGCAGCGATGCGGTGAGCAATGGCGGGATTATTCTCATTTCGAGCGGAATTACTAACTGAATCGAACTGGCCGTCGGGCAGTAGAATATAATAAGTTGAATCAGCCAGTGGGAAGTAGATGAGCTATTAGCAACGGGAGAAAGGTTTTGTAGGGTGCATTTGGACATGGGGGCGATCTTTTGAACGGTAATCATCAATTTTGGGCGATTTTTTTAAGCTCAGTCGGAGGCGTCAGAAATTTCATTTTCACCTGGGGCCAGGGTGTCAGATCTTGGATTTTTCCCGGGGGAAAGTCGACTTTCGCCAAAAACGAATTTTTTCACCGAGTGAATGCTGATTCCGTATTTACTGGCCCCTCTAATGCCAATAGAACCTTCAGGGGGCCCAGAAATGTAGAAATGAAAAAATTTTTTTTTCACTCGGGGCCAAAGTGTCAGATCTTGGATTTTTCCCGGGGGAAAGTCGACTTTCGCCAAAAACGAATTTTTTCGCCAAGTGAAGGTTGATTCCGTATTTACTGGCCCCTCTAATGCCAATAGAACCTTCAGGGGGCCCAGAAATGTAGAAATGAACAAAAATTTTTTCACTCAGGGTCAAAGTGTCAGATTTTGGATTTTTCCCGGGGGAAAGTCGACTTTCGCCAAAAACGAATTTTTTCGCCAAGTGAAGGTTGATTCCGTATTTACTGGCCCCTCTAATGCCAATAGAACCCTCAGGGGGCCCAGAAATGTAGAAATGAACAAAAATTTTTTCACTCAGGGTCAAAGTGTCAGATTTTGGATTTTTCCCGGGGGAAAGTCGACTTTCGCCAAAAACGATTTTTTTCGCCAAGTGAATGTATATTCCGTATTTACTGGCCCCTCTAATGCCAATAGAACCTTCAGGGAGCCCAGAAATGTAAAAATGAAAAAAAAATTTTTTCACTCGGAGCCAAACTATCAGATATTGGATTTTTCCCGGGGGAAAGTCGACTTTCGCCAAAATCGAATTTTCTCGCCAAGTGAATGTATATTCCGTATTTGCTGGCCCCTCTAATGCCAATAAAACCCTCAGGGGCCCAGAAATGTAGAAATGAAAAAATTTTTTTTTCACTCGGGGCCAAAGTGTCAGATTTTGGATTTTTCCCGAGGGAAAGTCGACTTTCGCCAAAAACGAATTTTTTCGCCAAGTGAATGTATATTCCGTATTTGCTGGCCCCTCTAATGCCAATAGAACCTTCAGGGGGCCCAGAAATGCAGAAATGAAAAAATTTTTTTTTCACTCGGAGCCAAAATGTCAGATCTTGGATTTTTCTCGGAGGAAAGTCGACTTTCGCCAAAATCGAATTTTTTCGCCGAGTGAATGTATATTCCGTATTTACTGGCCCCTCTAATGCCAATAGAACCCTCAGGCGGCCCAGAAATGTAGAAATGAAAAAATTTTTTTTTCACTCGGGGCCAAAGTGTCAGATTTTGGATTTTTCCCGGGGGAAAGTCGACTTTCGCCAAAAACGAATTTTTTCGCCAAGTGAATGTATATTCCGTATTTACTGGCCCCTCTAATGCCAATAGAACCTTCAGGGGGCCCAGAAATGTAGAAATGAAAAAAATTTTTTTTCACTCGGAGCCAAAATGTCAGATCTTGGATTTTTCCCGGGGGAAAGTCGACTTTCGCCAAAAACGAATTTTTTCGCCAAGTGGATGTATATTCCCTATTTACTGGCCCCTCTAATGCCAATAGAACCCTCAGGGGGCCCAGAATCCGTTTCAGCCTACTGCGCAACTTCCCCGCGCATATTCAACATGGCGGCCGGTCTCTCGTGCTGAGCCGAGTGTTTGCTGTGCGGTCCAAGTATTTTCGCGTGAAACAAGTGCACAATCAACAAATTAATACTTAATAACCCAATTATTAAATAATTACACTGCCGAGCAACGATTTTACCATAAAATTTGGCTTTATTTCGCCGAATTACGAGCGGTAGAGCGATATGTAAACTCCAAACGACAAAAAACTTGTCTCTACCTGTCCGTCCTCGCCAGAAAACCGTAAGATGGCGGCTGGTGAGTGCTTCCCGTCAAACATTTCGTGTTCATTAATTTATCAACTCATCAAAAACCTTTAAAATTCTAAATCAAGTTCACAATCAGTGAAAATAATTGTCATGGAGGATTTCATTAGTGGTTTCCTGCTTAAAAGAAGTGTTGAAGTGTCTTGTGAGTTTCATTACTGCCGACGTGTTCCCAAATTACGCGAGATGTCGTCCCCAGTGTAATATAATATCGAACAAATGCACGTGTTTACCCACCTCGAGAGACAGATGGCGCACCCATTGCGTTCTCTCCCGCCAGGAGCTAACACTCCAGCAACTCCACAATACCTGCCTGTTTATTCGTGTGTGTGTATTCGCCGCATTCGAGCAACCGTAGTGACGATTAATATACGCTAGCGTGCGGACGTACATCGACGGCGTATCCCACTCTATCCTCCAGCCAAACATTGTTTTTTTCTCCTCCCCCAGTGTATCGTGGACAAAGTTGACCTCCGAGTGTATTAAACCCCCTGAAAATAAATGAACAAACACCATTGTTTACTCGTAAAATGTTAAAACAGCTCTAAATTGGTTCAATTATGCGTACTGACGCGACGCCCGTGTGCCACAGTAGTCGTGTTACTCGTCCCGGTGTCCGGGAGTGCAAAACGACTATCGTGATTTCAATTAGTGCCCCAGGAAGTCGATGAGGGAGTCGACGTGCTGGCGAGAAGCAACGGAGCATCATTTGGAAAAATCCCGGTGAGTACAAGGCAAAATAAACAGTTTTTATGAATTGAAAAAACGAGAGATTCTCCGGGGGAAAAAATAGAATCACCCTACCGGCTGTTTTTTTCGGCTCACGGAAGTCCCCCAAATCCCCGAATTTTTCGGTCTCCAAAGTCCAAAAAAATCCCGTCCCCTCGGCATTTTTTTTTCTCTCCTTTCTCGTGAGCCGGGATTCTCATACATTCGCTGTGCACTTCTCCCTCGTCTCTCTCGTTCTCCTTTGGCTCCTCTGCGTTACATCTCTCTTTGCCGTCCACCGGACTGAATCGTCCGGCGAGACACACTCGAGGGGGGGATCAAGAAGGATGCCTCGAACCCCTTTTAAAGAGCACGAACCGACGGGACCCTTTTTTATTCGAAAAACACTCGGTGAGTCGATCCGAATGTCCATAAGGAGTGCGATCTTCCTCTCTTCTCCCCACCCTCTCCTCAGGACGAGGGGTTTGTATCCAGTCCCAAGTATCAAACTATAGTGCAGTCTTTTACCTGTAGCCTTTTCTCGAGGCACCACACACACGGCCTTGAGTACAACTCCAATCCATCTTGTCTTTTTAGCCGATTCCCTGAAAACTTGAGAACGTACCAAACTCGTTATTTTGCACGTTTCGAAGAGTAGTCATTTTATTTCACAGGATAAAAAAGTAAATTGGAGGGAGGGAGGGCATGATAGTTGCAGTGGGGGCTTCGTGGAGTTTATCGGGAGGTTCATGAGAATTATTTTACTACCAAGGACGAGTGGAGATGATCTCCTGGTGGGAAGAGTGGGCATAATATACGTACAAACAAACCGTGCATGTCGACCGCAATAATGATGTTAGTATGGTCGTTGGGGAGTCACGAGGCGCCGGTACTAACGTTCTCTCCGTGCGATCGTTATTGGCGGGTGAAAATTCGGGGGAAATGGGGGGGATTTAATTTTTGGGGGCTTTTGTTGGGAGGGGGGAAACCATAACAACGGAGAGGGGAAACGTGACCAGGATTATTAGAATTATTTTTGGTCGAATAATTTTGGTAAAACAGGTATTTCAACATTTCTCTGCAGATCGAATGGCTTTGGAGATATTCGAGGAATCGTCTGTGTGGATTTTTTGAATCATTTGGTATTCTCTCATTTTATTTTCATGTATTTTTGGCTGATAATTCCGGGGGAAATTCTTGGGAATTTTTATTACACTATATTCCAAGTTTTATCGAGAAGTCAAGGGAAAATGGAGATTTTAGTTCAATTAATGCACGAAAATGAATTTGTTATTGTAAATCTTAAATTTCACGATTTTTCCTCTTGCATTGAATTCAATGTCACAATCCTTAAAATTACTACTCAACTTTTCATGAAATTTCATTTTTTTTTCCAATAGTGTAGTCCCAATAACACTTACATAATCATCAGAAAATAATGACTTAATGATTTCATCAATTAATCGAATGAGAATTAGTTTATTGAACTCGTGATGGCATGTAAGAATTTGTGGTGAATATTCCAAGAATGTTGAATGAAAAAAATTCAATCCAGAATAATCCATCAGCGATGACCAGTTGACAGTCGACATTTTTCTTCCCCCATTGACAATGAAGCTATTTAAAAATAGCTGTTAGATGCACTCGAGTATGACGAGGCGGATTCCTCGTCCTTGTTCACCCATAATTGTCTCGTATTTTATTCTCCGAAGACCTGTTGGACAACAGGAAAGAATAATAAAAGAAAAAACACTATTTTCTCAGCCGATAAATCGTAATCGTCGGAGTTTGTCTTCCATTATCACGTCTCAATGTTGACATTAATATACCCAGTATTGAGTCTTCAGGTACAGTTTGTATAGACACATGTGGAGTTTCTGTCCTGTGATTACTCGGAGCGGTTGTAGACTGCATTGCAGTGTCGACCTGGCACCCATGTGTCTCTATCCGTTACGAGGTACAAAGAGCAAGGGAAAAAATTGTTGAAGATAGGAGGAAAAAATAAGTATGTGACCGGCTGGGTCTCTTGAGGTTCTGCAGTCGAGTGGAATGTATTACAGGTATTTACTCATTGCCCCCCCTGAGGCTCGATACGTACTTGAAGACTCGACTGGCGTGACTGTCTGTGGATACCAGTAGAGTTTACTAGGAAGACATGTAAAAATAAATACGGACGACCTTGTCAATAATTTTTTTCTCGTTGCCTTTTTGGATTTTTGGGATAAATGGACAGCTCTGGTGGGAACACGATTGAAATTTCATTGATAGTCGNGGGAAACCATAACAACGGAGAGGGGAAACGTGACCAGGATTATTAGAATTATTTTTGGTCGAATAATTTTGGTAAAACAGGTATTTCAACATTTCTCTGCAGATCGAATGGCTTTGGAGATATTCGAGGAATCGTCTGTGTGGATTTTTTGAATCATTTGGTATTCTCTCATTTTATTTTCATGTATTTTTGGCTGATAATTCCGGGGGAAATTCTTGGGAATTTTTATTACACTATATTCCAAGTTTTATCGAGAAGTCAAGGGAAAATGGAGATTTTAGTTCAATTAATGCACGAAAATGAATTTGTTATTGTAAATCTTAAATTTCACGATTTTTCCTCTTGCATTGAATTCAATGTCACAATCCTTAAAATTACTACTCAACTTTTCATGAAATTTCATTTTTTTTTCCAATAGTGTAGTCCCAATAACACTTACATAATCATCAGAAAATAATGACTTAATGATTTCATCAATTAATCGAATGAGAATTAGTTTATTGAACTCGTGATGGCATGTAAGAATTTGTGGTGAATATTCCAAGAATGTTGAATGAAAAAAATTCAATCCAGAATAATCCATCAGCGATGACCAGTTGACAGTCGACATTTTTCTTCCCCCATTGACAATGAAGCTATTTAAAAATAGCTGTTAGATGCACTCGAGTATGACGAGGCGGATTCCTCGTCCTTGTTCACCCATAATTGTCTCGTATTTTATTCTCCGAAGACCTGTTGGACAACAGGAAAGAATAATAAAAGAAAAAACACTATTTTCTCAGCCGATAAATCGTAATCGTCGGAGTTTGTCTTCCATTATCACGTCTCAATGTTGACATTAATATACCCAGTATTGAGTCTTCAGGTACAGTTTGTATAGACACATGTGGAGTTTCTGTCCTGTGATTACTCGGAGCGGTTGTAGACTGCATTGCAGTGTCGACCTGGCACCCATGTGTCTCTATCCGTTACGAGGTACAAAGAGCAAGGGAAAAAATTGTTGAAGATAGGAGGAAAAAATAAGTATGTGACCGGCTGGGTCTCTTGAGGTTCTGCAGTCGAGTGGAATGTATTACAGGTATTTACTCATTGCCCCCCCTGAGGCTCGATACGTACTTGAAGACTCGACTGGCGTGACTGTCTGTGGATACCAGTAGAGTTTACTAGGAAGACATGTAAAAATAAATACGGACGACCTTGTCAATAATTTTTTTCTCGTTGCCTTTTTGGATTTTTGGGATAAATGGACAGCTCTGGTGGGAACACGATTGAAATTTCATTGATAGTCGAGTTTTAATTTTTAGGTGGGTGAAGTTTAATTCGATTTAGGCGGAAAAAATAGTAAAATTTAGGATTTCACTGAAATTTTCAATTTTAACTTGAATATTCAGCACAGAATTACGAGGCATTGTCAATTAATTGAAAATTCAAGAACACACTTACCAGAATTTTCATGATTTTGATTAGGTTTCATGTGTTAATGGTCTGAAATTTGCAATTTGCGATGATTTATCCAAAATTTTGAATTTTCAATCATGAAATTACTAGAAATTTCAGTTAGAAGGATAATGTGATAAAAATTTCCAAGAACTGTACCAGAAATATCAGTCAGTAATTTTTTTAATTGAATAGTTAATTACATTCAAGATCGAATTATTCATCAATCTTTTTATGAATATCCATAATTACCAACCATTCATCAGTATATCAAATTCAATTTTCGGTTTTCATAAAATTCTCAGCAATTGAATGAATTCCTCCATCATTGAAAATCAATTGTTGAATATTTTGATAATTCACATTTTGAATTTGCGGTGCAATTTCCTTTCATTATAGTTTTTTCATTTCCATAAATAATGAAAAATTGATGAGTTGTGACGCCACAATCAGGACTTTCCTGCTTATTCCTTCCGCATTTTTAACTAGATTTTTCACGATTAAAAAATATCCATTTAATCATGTTATAATGGAAAAATCCCACGCAACAGCTCTCAGCACTCTGAAAAATGTCTGTCTTTATTTTGAAGTGTTAAAGATCAAATTACTTCACTTTTACCCAATCCATTTCTCTCAATACGGAAGCATTGCCGTATCACAATGAATGGAAAACTGGCTTTGACGTTTTTTTCAAGCTGATCGACGTCCAACTCTACTCGTCTTTTAAAACGATAGCTGGTATCGGCTATCGGGGCACCATTGCACCGAGTGGAGACTCGATCGTTTCCACACGCCTTTGAGATAAGATAACGCACATTTATTTTCTTTTTCAACAGTTTCTTTTGGTTTTATTTGTCTTTTATTTAGAATTGTCTCGCTTTATTCTTTCTCATTCATGGACAAGATCTTTCTTCTTGTACACGATGTGGAATACGTTTGGGGGCGAGGCACAAAGCCATCCGGACGAGTGTGTGCGAGACTCGCTTCCTTTTGTTGAAACAAAAAGATGAGGTGGTATTTTGAGGGAAAAAGCAGAGCTAGTCACAGTCGATCGGGTTATTACTTTCACCCGACGGGAATGATGACGTTTTAAAAATGAGGATCTATCGCATTACCGTTACGTTACATGGATCATTGTTCTCCAACATTGTTCATGATCATGGGGTTTTTAATTTTTTTATTCAATTAAATGAGGATTTGTGAGAAGACTGGTCTATGCAGACTATTTCGTGAATATCTGAGAAGGTAAAGAATTTATAAATAAAAAAGTTGAGACTAAAAAAGTATTCTAAAATATATTGTTTCT